ATCTGAAATTATGAGTTTAGGTTCTGGCAGTATACTGATTCAGAGTTAGATAAATTACAAATACAAAAATGTGAAAATGTAACAAAAGTTTTAGAGGCATATATGTTGGAAAGGATAAAGAGTTATGTGAACTTCTTAACTGGAAAGATAAAATAAAAAAGATAAAAATAATTTTATTCTTTTGGAATAAAAGAGATTTAACTTTACCAGGTCGAGCTACAGTTTTAACTTCCCTTATAATGTCGAAGTTATATTATACTGTAACTGTATGTCCATTGCCGGAAAAAGTTAAAAATGAAATCCGTCTAATTGTTATAAAGTTTCTTTGGCAAAATAAATCACATTTAGTAAGATATCAAAGTGTAGTAGGTACAAAACTGGAAGGTGGATTAAACATTCCTGATATTTTTCTAAAAATGCAAGCCTTTAGATTAAAATTTCTTAAAACATATTTTGATCCTGAATGTCAATCAATTTGGAAAGGTGCGTTTGATTACTTTATCACTAAAATCGATAATATGGATTTAAAACAAGATATTGTTTATACGCATTTAAATTCAAAACAGATTAAACACTTACCGCTTTCTTATCAAGAAATGATAAACGCGTATTATAAAAGAAAATCCAATTTCAAAATCGATTTTCAAGTGCAATATGTATATAATAATCCGCTGTTTTGTAATCCAAATATAACATGCAACGGTAAAATGCTTCTGTTTGAAAAAATCATTCAAACAGGCTTGATACGGATAAAAGACATTTGCTATGAATTTATGCCGGGTTTCTTCACATCGAATTCAATAGATGAAATAATAAAACAAAAATTTCCTGATGAAAAAACAGAACAAATAAAAACAGCTTTCGAAAAAATCATACGATGTATTCCTGAAGAGTGGAAAGAACTATTAAAATCCGAAAATCCTCTGAATGTTGGGATTACTCCGATTGTTAAAATTTGTTTAGATAACGACAGAGAAATTCACCTTAGAAGTGCTGTGACGAAATTATTTTACAGCCTTCTTCTGTCAAAATTTCTTGAAACGCCCTCTGCTGAAAAGCATTGGGCGGAGCAATATCCGTCTCTCAATTTCAAAAGTCTTTATTTGGTTGTCAATCAGAGTTGTTTACCTCCTGATTGTCATTGTTTAAACTATAGGATTGTCCATCGAGCTATTTTTACAATTGAAAAGTTGGTCAGAATAGGTCAGGCAGATACTGGCACATGCAAAACGTGCGGCCAGGGTATAGAAAATCTTAGTCACCTGTTTGTACATTGTCAAAAGTTCAAACCACTTCATGATTACCTGAAAGACATATTACACAATATTTTTATCACTTACCCGCCTGATATGGTTAATTCCATTGATTATGAACAGTTATTTTTACTTGGGTTTTTGAAACGTTCACAAGTTATTAATACTTACTTTTTAATTTTTTTCCTCAGTGTAGCCCGACTTTGCATATTCAAAACACGAAATTTAAAAGTTTTTCATGACAAAGACATAGATGCACTTCGTCTATTCAAGTACACAATTAAAAAATACATTGAATACGCATACATGTATTATAAAAAGACACAAAAAAGACAATTATTTTACAAATATTTTTTAAACAATAACACTTTATTGGATATTCAAAATGACAACATAGTTTTGTTTGTCTAGACAGTTACTTCAATTTGATTGATTGTTAGAACAAAAGATCACATTCCAATGTAAAATTATCGATCGCACTTAGGTGTGTTCGACTTTTGAAAATATTTTGGAGTTGTCTCGCTTTCAATATATAACTTGTATTGAATTTGTCCACCGTCAATTATTTTGAAAAATGAATCAACATAAAATAAATGGGGACATATATGTTATATATTTTTTAACTTTTTTAAACGTAGATCATCTAGATGTATTTTATTTTTACTAATGTAGGAGGATAACTACTAACAACTCTGTATATAGAAAAATTCTCACCAATGAGGGATGTCTCATGGTGACAGTATGTAAATATATAATAAACAATTTTAATAATGATAAAAAAAGCGGGTTCGGCTGTTAACCGAAAGGTTGGTGGTTCGAGCCCACCCAGGGACGTGGCATAATTTTTGCCAGCAGAAAATAGGGTTTTATTCTCATCTTGTTACTGACAGACCTAAGGTTATCAACAAAAAGACTTATACATGTGTAATAGTATAGCAGTTCTGGTGGAGGACTATGCTATGGATATGTTCTGTTAAGAGTTTATGCATATTTTCGATCTATTGAAAGACATTTTTATGGATATGTTCTAGTAATTGACTAGTGGTAAAACAAACTGGGGATTTTAAATGAATAATGAAAGGCTAATGAACGCAGTCGAATTTTTGAAGATCGAGTGCATTGCATGTGACAACATCAATATATGTATAAGATAGTGTAGATTAGACCGTTATAATTAATTGGTCAATATAATTCATCCTTATGGTGTATACAGTATATGACAATATGACAAGGTAAAATTATCACTACCTTAATATTCTACAGTTTGACATGCGAGTCTCTGTGGCGCAATTGGTTAGCGCGTTCGGCTGTTAACCGAATGGTTGGTAGTTCGAGCCCACCCAGGGACGTGGCATAATTTTTGCCAGCAGAAAATAGGGTTTTATTCTCATCTTGTTACTGACAGACCTAAGGTTATCGACAAAAACACTTATAAATGTGTAATAGTATAGCAGTTCTGGTGGAGGACTATGTTATGGATATGTTCTGTTAAGAGTTTATGCATATTTTCGATCTATTGAAAGACATTTTTATGGATATGTTCAAGTAATTGACTAGTGGTAAAACAAACTGGGGATTTTAAATGAATAATGAAAGGCTAATGAACGCAGTCGAATTTTTGAGGATCGAGTGCATTGCATGTGACAACATCAATATATGTATAAGATAGTGTAGATTAGACCGTTATAATTAATTGGTCAATATAATTCATCCTTATGGTGTATACAGTATATGACAATATGACAAGGTAAAAACATCACTACCTTAATATTCTACAGTTTGACATGTGAGTCTCTGTGGCGCAATTGGTTAGCGCGTTCGGCTGTTAACCGAAAGGTTGGTGGTTCGAGCCCACCCAGGGACGTGGCATAATTTTTACCAGCAGAAAATAGGGTTTTATTCTCATCTTGTTACTGACAGACCTAAGGTTATCAACAAAAAGACTTATAAATGTGTAATAGTATAGCAGTTCTGGTGGAGGACTATGTTATGGATATGTTCTGTTAAGAGTTTATGCATATTTTCGATCTATTGAAAGACATTTTTATGGATATGTTCTAGTAATTGACTAGTGGTAAAACAAACTGGGGATTTTAAATGAATAATGAAAGGCTAAAGAACGCAGTCGAATTTTTGAAGATCGAGTGCATTGCATGTGACAACATCAATATATGTATAAGATAGTGTAGATTAGACCGTTATAATTAATTGGTCAATATAATTCATCCTTATTGTGTATACAGTATATGACAATATGACAAGGTAAAAACATCACTACCTTATTATTCTACAGTTTGAAATGCGATTCTCTGTGGCGCAATTGGTTAGCGCGTTCGGCTGTTAACCGAAAGGTTGGTGGTTCGAGCCCACCAAGGGACGTGGCATAATTTTTGCCAGCAGAAAATAGGGTTTTATTCTCATCTTGTTACTGACAGACCTACGGTTATCAACAAAAAGACTTATAAATGTGTAATAGTATAGCAGTTCGGGTGGAGGACTATGTTATGGATATGTTCTGTTAAGAGTTTATGCATATTTTCGATCTATTGAAAGACATTTTTATGGATATGTTCTAGTAATTGACTAGTGGTAAAACAAACTGGGGATTTTAAATGATATATAATTAATTGGTCAATATAATTCATCCTTATGGTGTATACAGTATATGACAATATGACAAGGTAAAAACATCACTACCTTAATATTCTACAGTTTGACATGTGGACTTCCGGATTTGGATTTGGATAACGAAGACGTGCCTTCTAAACCAGAAAAAAATCTGATAAGTTGTGTTGTGTGACTAGCCATCCGTTGATGGTTAGTCAATATTATTTCATATATTGTTCTAGTAGAACTATTTGTGGCCATATTTTGTGCATTTTTGACACTTATTAAGACTTTCAAACCTCCCTTCACCATGTCTGGTGGAAGGAGGGGATGGTCGTTCCATCAAGGAAAAAACTGTGTTAGTAGATGTAGGTGACAACCGGACTATAAAAGCTGTCGATGTCATCGCTAATGTGGCAAAAGAAGTTGGTGAGGGAACAGTCCTTGCATGTGTTCCAAAAAGTGGTAATAGTTATGAACTTACGTTGTCTAATAAAGATGCTTTAGATTTGATTGTGGATACAGGTTTTAAGGTGAAGGACTCAAATTTTAAACCCAGAGCTATTTTTTCGCGTGATAAAGTTGTCAGTTTTTTTCAACGTGTCACACTATGTGCCCGACTCTGAAATACGAGAGAAATTGCAGGAGTTTGGTGTAACACTCAAGTCGCCCATTAAGCGGAAAATGTATCCTGGTACTGACGTCGCTAATGGTACACGGTATGTAGTAGTTAGATTTTCCCCTGAACGACAAAGTTTACCATATACATTGAAGCTATCAACTAGTGTGAGCTCATTTGAATATATAAGAGTAGTTCATGACGAACAAAAGAGAGTCTGTACCCAGTGTTTTGAGACAAGTCATGTTTATGCAAACTGTCCTGATAATATTTGCTATAAGTGTAAACGCTTCGGACATCTAGCAAGAGCTTGTCAAACTCCACCGTGTGAAACATGTCATAAAGTGTTATCATACTGTCGGTGTGAGCCGGTTTGGAACAGGGATAGAAATGAAACAAATGAAAATAAAACAAATAATGATAACACAGAAAATGATATAAATGCTAACAATCCAGAAAATGAAACAAATTCTGACATTCCTGAACATGAAACAAACACTGAACATCAAGAAAATGATGATATGAACGAGAATGAAGCTGAAGACGAGCACACGGATGGAGTCAATGGTGATGATGATAACATGGAGCAAAGTGATGTTGACGATGATAACACGGAGAAAACTGACGGTGACGATGATACCATGGAGGAAAGTGATGTTGACAATGATGACAAAGATGAACATTTCAATGAAAACGCTAAAAATGACAATGCTGTTACAGATTCCAATGAACAACAAACGTCTGGTGTTGACAATGATGTACTAGATTTGATGACTGATATTGAATATTCAAACAAACAAGAGACAGTAATTGTTGATAATAAAATTCATAAAAAAGGGGGGTCTAGCCCATCAAAATTAGAGCCACAGCCAGTTCCTCGTGGGCCTAATTTGACTGATTCTGTTGGTAAAAATACAGGAGTTGATGAATCTAAGGTAGTTGATATTGAAATGACCGACGAGGAATTGGCTGCGAATATGAGTAAAATTAGGAGGAAGCGTTTAGTTACATCTCCAAAATTTACTTCAGATTTGCTTAAAAAATTTAGGAGGGAACCCCGGAATAAAGTATCAAGTTCAAGTTCATAGATATAAAGTTACTTTCTTTCTTACTTTTTGTACAGCTGGTTAATATTGTATCTATAAATGCTAATGGTTTGAGGGATCAGACAAAATTCCAAAAGTTTTGTTCTTTTTGTTCGGAAAATTATTATAATGTTGTAGCTATCCAAGAAACGTTTTGGTCAGATGACGTAGTTACTAGTTTTTCTAAGTTTTGGAATGGTAAAATATTTTACTCGTGTGCTGAAACACATAGACAAGGTGCTGCCTTTTTGATAAGTAAAAAGGCTGAACATGAAGTAAATTATATACAAAGTTTTGACGGTAGATGTGTACATATTCAATTACAACAAGATGAAAAATTAATAAATATTGTTAATTGTTATGCACCTAATTCGGTTCTTGAGAGAACTACATTTTTCGAAAACTTGAGTGGAAAATTGATAAACACAGAAAATATTATTTTGTTGTGTGATATGAACACATCTATGTCAAAACTTGACAGGTGCGGAAAAACACAACACACAGAAGACAAATCATACAAGTCAATTAATCAGTTGTGCGAAAATTTTAATATCTATGACATATGGCGAGCAAGAAATCCAACGTCACGAATATTCTCTTGGCGTCGAGTTGTACAAAATAATCTAATTCAGAGTAGATTGGATTTTATATTTATTCCAAAGTCCTTTTCTGTATTTGTAAAGAACGTTTATTATAAACATAATGCGTTCAGCGATCATTCTTTTGTAAATCTGAATATAGATTTTAATGAAATTGAGAGAGGCCCGGGTTTATGGATATTTAATAATGAATTGTTAGATGACGAAGAGTTTGTGAATAAAATTAATAAATTAATTGAAACTGAAAAACAATGTCCTTTTTATGAGGAAGAACCTTTGGTTTGGTATGATAATTTAAAATATAAAATAAAACAACTAGCAAAAGTTATTGCGCAAGATAAATCCCGTGCCGAAAAATCGGAATATTTTAAAATTCAAAGAGAATTTGAAAAAATTTCATTAGCCGTAGCTAATAATGAAATTGTTGATTTGAATAAATTTGAGGAAATTAAATTGAAATTAAAATGTCATGAAGAAAACATTTGTAAAGGCGCGATTTTGCGTTCTAAAGCCCATTGGGCAATAGATGGTGACAAGAACTCTAAATATTTTTACAGCTTGAAAAATATAAACAAAACTGTAATGTTATAAAAGAATTAAAAAATAGTGATAATAATATAGTCACATCTACGGAGGCAATTCTTGATGAAGTTCATAAATTTTATAAAGATTTATACTCTTGTACATCAATAAACAAAGATAAAGCAAATGAAATTTTAAATTTTATTTCGGAAAAAGTTTCTGAAGATGATATGGAAAATTTAGAAGCGGAATTTAGTTTAGATGACATAAAAGCCGCTTTATTTAGTATGTCTAAAAATAAATCTCCGGGTCCCGATGGACTAACTGTTGAATTCTTTTGTCATTTCTTCCATTCGTTCGGAGGAATATTTAAAAAAAATTTTAAAGTCATTGAAGATGAAAAACTTATGACAAGATCTATACGACACGGCATAATTACTTTAGTCTATAAAAATAAAGGGGACAAAAATATGGTAAAAAACTTTAGACCCATTTCATTATTATGTGTGGATTATAAAATAATGGCTAGAATAATGTCCAACAGACTAAAATTTGTTTTGCTGAAATTGATTTCTATTTATCAAACGTGTTGTATTCCTGGACGAGATATTGCAGATACAACTGCAAGCATTCGAGATTTAATTGAAATTATTGAAAACGATGATTTAGAAGCTTTTCTTATAAAAGTTGACCAGGAAAAGGCTTTTGACAAAGTTGATCATGATTATTTATATTTAGTTTTAGAAAAAATTGGCTTTGGTCCAAAATTCATTCAGTGGATAAAAATATTTTATAAAAATGTAAACAGTAGCGTAAAATGTAATGGCTTCTTAACAAAATATGTTAAACTAAATAATTCAATAAAACAAGGATGTCCCGTTTCTGCTCTCCTTTACTTTTTAGTTGCGGGACCATTAGGGCAGACCATAATAAAGAATAAAAATATTTAAGGTGTTGTTATTCCGAATTCAAATAAAGAGGCAAAAATTTTTCAACATGCAGATGATACGAATATTTTTACTGCTGACAAAAGTTCTATAAAAGAAACATTTAAAATTTTGAATCTATATAGTGAGGCGTCAGGTGCTAAAATTAATAAACAAAAATCTGAAATTTTATGCTTAGGTTCTGGTAGCATAAATGATCAAGAACTAAATACATTACATCATGATTTCCTTGATAGAGGATTGCTGCTCACAAGGAAGCTATTAAGCCAAGAGTTCCAAATGGTGAAGTTGAAATCATCCCTTCGTAAATTTTACGGACACCATCACGAGTCGGTTGACCATTATGGAATAACCGTTTCACAGATGATATCGGATATGTTCCTTATGTCGTAACTACAATACCCTTCCCTTTTCACGAATGTGACTTACCGAATTAGACTATTTACCGGATTTGTAATAACATAAGCAACACGACGGGTGGCACATGTGGATCAGGATCTGCTTACCCTTTCCGAAGCACCTGAGATCACCCCCAGTTTTTGTTGGGGTTCGTGTTGCTTAGTCTTTAGTTTTCTATGTTGTGTCATCTGTACTATTATTTGTCTGTTTGTCTTTTTATTTTTGGCCATGGCGTTGTCAGTTTGTTTTAGATTTATGAGTTTGAATGTCCCTCTGGTATCTTTCGTCCCTCTTTTACAAATTCAACGTTGTAAAACTGTAACTAAAGTTCTAGGTATTATGTTGGTAAAGATAAACAGTGATGCGAATTATTGAAATGGAAAGATAAAATTAAAAAAATAAAAACAATTTTATTTTTTTGGAATAAAAGAGATCTAACACTACCTGGTAGAGCAGTTGTTCTTACTTCACTTATAATGTCTAGATTTTATTATACTTTAACAGTATGTCCGCTACCAGAAAACGTAAAAAACGAAAATCGATTAATAGTTTTAAAATTTCTTTGGCAGCATAAATCTCATCTTGTAAAGTATCAAACAATAATTGGCGAAAAATTAGCAGGAGGTTTGAATATTCCAGATATTTTTCAAAAAATGCAAGCTTTTAGATTAAAATTCCTTAGAAAATATCTTGACCCGAATTGTCAATCAATTTGGAAAAGTGCGCTTGATTATTTCATAAATAAAATTGAAAATATGGATTTAAAACAAAATATTGTGTTCACGTATTTAAATTCCAAACATCTAAAACACTTACCACTTTATTATAAAGAAATGTTTAATGCCTATTATAGAATAAAATCCAAGCTAAAATTTGAAATTGAAATTCAACATGTGTACGATAATCCTATTTTTTGTAATCCAAATAAAAGCTAAACGGTAAAATGCTTCTTTTCGAAAAATTAATTCACTCATGTTTGATCCAGATAAAAGACATCTGTTATGAATTTATTCCCGTTTTTTTTTACTTCCGGTTCGATTGTAGAAATAATCCAACAAAATTTTCCTGACGAAAAGCCACACGAAATAAAAATTGCATACGGCAAGATTTTAAGATGTATTCCTGAAACGTGGAAAGTTTTACTGAAATCCATAAACCCGTTAAATACCGAGAGTATTCCGAAGTTACGTATTTGTCTAGAAAACGCCAGAGAAGTTCCCTTTCTAGGGGCAGTTACAAAATTTTTTTACAAACTCTTACTGTCAGAAATGTTTGAAACGCCCACAGCTGAAAAGCATTGGGCGGAGAAATATCCGTCGATCAATTTTACTAAATTATATTCAGTAACCAATCAGAATGGTCTATCTCCTGACTGTCATTGTCTGAACTATAGGATTGTACACAGGGCTATTTTTACCTTAGAAAAGTTGTTTAAATTTGGTCAAGTGGACAGAGACACATGCAAAGCGTGCGGCCTATATACAGAAAACTTGTTACACCTGTTTACCTTATGTCCGAAGTTGACCCCGATGCATAACTTTCTGAAAGATATGTTACACAACATTTTTATTGATTATCCCCCTGATGTTGTGAATTTGATAAATTATGAGGAACTGATGATATTTGGGTACCTTGGTCGTTCAAAGATTGTGAACACATATTTTTTGAACTTTTTTCTGAGTGTAGCTAGATTATGCATCTTCAAAACACGCAATCTTAAAGTGTTTCATGATAAAGATATAGATACAGTGAGACTATTCAAATTTACAATTAGAAAATATATAGAATATGCATACACTTATCACAAAATAAAACACCAACAACAGATCTTCGATAAATATTTTTTACGCAATAATTCCTTACTGCGTATTGAAAACGACAAAATAATTTTATTTTTTTAAACACATGAAATCCATATCAAACTGATTACAATTGTAATCTGGTAGTTTCTGAATATTTTATTTTGAATCTTAAATAGAACAATACATTTAAAAAAAAAAGAAAGGTTGTCCGTCAAATGAATAACCAAAGGGTGTGTTTGACTTTTGCAAAAACAAAACATATTAGAGTTATCTCTCTTTGGGTATACATTGAATCATTAATTGTTTTATAAACACTTCTCTTTTAAAAAATATATCTAGATGGAAATCATTACTAACAAAAAGGTTAATACTAACAACTCTGTACATACCAAAGATGGCACCAA